TTTGAGGATGACGCATACCTCTCGTTGGGAGCGTCATTTATAATCAAAGAAATAAAAATGCTTTGCACAGCGAGGCCTTCAAATTCATTAATTTTATCGGTTATATACATGGTTTCTTTTTCTCTTTTTTTTTTAAGAATCCTCTGAAAACGATCGTTCGCGTCGTCTTCATCATTTTCTACACGCCCGTAAGATGATTATGTGTTGGCCGTATTGTGAATAACTTTGTCGGTATAAATATCGATTGTGTCACTGAGAGGTATGAGGAGTGATCTCATGGTCTCGAAAGCTTCTGAGTAACTCGAATTCGCGAGTTTTTCCTAGGAGCGTTCAAAGATCAATTCTTTTGCGTAAACCGCATCCTCGTGGCGGACACTTTACATAAGCCACCATTTTTCAAACTTTTTCTACCAAGGAATAGCTGGCGTCCCGAGACAGATATATTTTGTCGGTCACAAACGGCACTTAGTCAAGTGTTAATTTCGTTCGTAAACGGAAATCGTTGCAAACGAAAGACTGAAAACGCACCGTGCAACGTTTGTAAAGAAAGATGTTATTTGATCAGACCATGCAGTTGAATATCTTCAGGATGAAAGGTCAAATTCGATTCCAACCATAAGCTGCTTATCTCTCTTTCGAATTGCAAATGAACCATGGTTCGCGTAACGCAGCCACGGTGTGCAGCGAATCTGTGAACCTACGGTTTCTTTCCAGGATCGGATCGAGACTTCCGATATCCCTGGGTGTCCAAACTTGGGCCATTTTCAACCTCGTTAATTCGGTTCTGTTTCATTCGAAATGATACTCGCTTGTTCGTTATTTAATTGCACGCGATTCACCAGGGAATTGAATTGTTTACTAAGCTCGCCGAGGAAAGGATGGCTCGGAATCGTGTTCGTGACCGAAAATAATCCTCTTGAATTATTAAGAGTCCCCTTGTTACCGCAGAAAGCAAATTCCAGTATCGATTCCGCGCGGCGAACCGCAACATTCCATCGCGCGGGATTGTTAGAAATTTCCTAACTCTAGTGGATATCTTCCGCGGTGATAACGAAACAAGTGGAGGTTGTTGGAGATGCTTCATTTATCATAAGAGAGTTATAAGAGAGCTATGGTCTACCTTTGTATCCGTTTTTGACATATCACAAGATCTTGCTCCAGAAATCAAACTAAATTATATCTCATTCGGGATATTTAATCGTGGACGTCAAGTAAACATTTCAACTTCAGCCACCACTAACTTTTACTTATCTACGGTGCTCAACCTTGACGGGAGCCCAACACCTTCCAGCAATTAACAGTCTGCCGCGATGGGTCACGAGTGATTGTGCAATTATTTTGTAACGCTGACACAACGCTTGCTTCGATATCGAGCGCGTAAATCATCTCGTGACAAAGCGATTCCAAAATACACCAAAAAATAAGTGCTTAAAAATTAAATCCTGGACACTGACAACTGGACCCATCGTCTTAACGAGAAGTTAATCAAGCTTTTCCTCCGATCGTTCAGTTTTGAATAATTACCCGAAAATGCGCGTTTCTTCCAAGTGCACGGCTATCCCTCCTCCCCCTCCCTCGATTCGCAACGGTGTTCGTCGACTTGTCGCGGATTGTTGCCAGTGAATCGAAACATTTAGCCAGCGCGTATTGAGGTCAGTGGTTTGTTCATCCTATCGTTAATGACGATTCCAGTGTCGAGACACACAGCTTCGACGCGGACACGAACGACCGACCGAGCGATTCTTCCTTGCGTAACGTACACAGAGGACACAACCGGCGCTGGCCCGTTTTCTGCGCCCGGCCCATTATAATGTATACAGTTTTCGCAACATATTCCCGCGGTATTTCGCTTGCTCGACGCGTTTTCGACTTTTCGTTTTGCAAGCGAACGAGACGCGATCGCGATCCATCGCGGACCAGCGAGCCGCCTTTGCCTGCATTTCTATGCTCCTCGATGGTTATACTTGGCACGAAAGTCGGTACCCCCTCGCAGGGTTCCGCGACGAGGGGCCCCCCAAGTCGGCCACGTTGCGTCTCTCGGAGGATCTGAGATCAGAGACGAATGAGACGCCGTTCTCCTTGAAGGAGCGCAGGTAATAATGGTCATCAAGAGCGAGACTATTATATTGCGAATGAATCTCTTCCGCATTGCTCTTGTTGATCGTGTTGATGCTGCTTCTAACTATAGGATTACAAAGCGACCTTTCAAAAAGTCAGCAACTTGGAGAAATCCTAATCGTAACAGACATACCAACTTGGAGCGTGGTTTACTGCAACATGGAAAGAGACTCCTAATCATAACAGACATTCCAGAAACACACTTAGTGATGGCCTATGTGCATCGATACCGAGCCTCTATCGAGGACAGAACGAAATTTCAGAAACATAGAACCCGTTCCTGAATTTCATTCCAGGAAGTGTTCGAATGAGCCTCGCGTGGCGCGATCTCTCCTAGAAGCCAGGATAGGATCTGGATCCTTGCCCGTTCCCCTGCCGGTGGATCGATTAGTGAAAGGACCAGACGACTGGGCGGTAGGTGACCTTACAGACTCCGACGACCGTGTACAAATCGGCGACCGACTGGCCGATGATAAATGACGACACCCATTCAAGTCCGTTGTCGATTGGCCTTGACAAGAATTCTCGCGCCAGGCCGAGTTGTATTGAAAGCGAAATCCAACGGGTTACCAAACCGTCGTCCGTTCAGCTGACCAGCAACGCTGACCGAACTTGCACGTAGCCGCGCACGAGTGTCTTCAGGGACGTGATTAAACTGCCGCTAGAATCCAAGGCGTCGAAATAAATAATTAACGGGCGCGGTTTTTCTTCCGCGTCCTCCACGACCGCGAGGAAAATCGCTTCGCGGAAAACGACGATCGTTTCCGCCTACCTGGAACAAAACGCTCGGAAGTTACGCGAACTGGATTGTTAACGCATAATAGTATGTTTGAGGCATTACGTGACTGCCCACATTCTTGATCGCGTCTCCGCTGGAGGAGATTGAATCGACCTGAAATTTCCACGAAAGATGCAGCGTGCGAAGACCTCGTTACTGTAAATAGCTGCTTGATCTCTTGTCCTACGACAACATGCGAGACTCGTGGCACGAAATTTGAAAATTATTGGCGCGCTAAGGCCTTCGTACTGTGAAATTTTCAGCTCGATTTGATCTTCGGCAGAGATACGATGAAAGATGTTAGATGGCTGAAAGTAAGAAAAACGACGAGTCTAGGACTAGGACACTGGGTGGGTATCGAAACATATAGCAGATGGCTAATCGTACACAGTATTGAGAATAAGGAATCTTTATACCGCTCGAGATTGCGTCTCCAGCCACCGTGATTTATATGCGTTATTATTCTGATAGCACAATCGCTCGGTCATAATGTTTTTCAAGCGCAGACCTACTGCTAATCTGTTCTATAGCACACTGTATACATATTTTAGCAAATTTGTTAGAGTTTCCATTTTTAAACAATTTGAACATGGAAAAATTGCATGAAAGATCGAACGTGGGTTTGTTGCCTATGCGTTTCTTCCACGAAGAAAAAACCTGAAAATAATATGGGTGGAAGAGTAGATGGAAAATTAGATCACCTCTGACATTGGTAGCGTTAATTTAACGGAGTAACCCAAAGGAAAAATTTAGGCAAACACGCTGTCTCCCGGTATGTACATTGTACTTCTATTTAGGAATCCGATGTTCTTAATGGAGATAAGATAATTGAAACACATTTAGTACACGAGGCACCTGAATATCAACTTTGCATATTGCAATCTTCCTGGTGCTATACATACCTGTTGACATTTACAAACTATTATGTTTGTAAATAGCTTTGAATGGCCGGGTATATCAGAGATAAGCCAACCTACGGTCAACCTACGCGTACGATCTATATAATTACGTCGATTAGGAATCGTCGTTCGGTTTCAAGGCAAAAATCGTTAGCCAAACTTCTTTCGACGGCACGTGGGAGAAAATACTTTTAAATAATTGGTGGAGCGCCAATTATAGGCGCAAATACAATTTAAGATAAATTTCTGTTTTTCCATGGATTGCGCGAATGAAGCGTTAAATAAAGTCAAATCACGAATTGTCGAAAATTAGAGAAACGTTTTACGTGATTCCGCGTAAGTAACAATGAAGTAAAATCTGGAAACTTTTTGGGTCACGTCGCGTAACAACTTCCACGTGGGCGACCAAGTTTACCTGGGATCGAGGCTCGTGAGTCCGATCGCAGGTGAAATTCGACCGATCGCCGATCGGAGGTGGGCAGAGGCCTGTTGGGCGCAGTGGTTCAAGGCCGTGGCGATTCATGGTCGGCCCCGTGAATTGCGAGATTCCGTTGGATCGTGGCGTGTAATCCATAACAAAAAATTATGTGATCGATTTCGTAAGCGGTGAGGTACACGCGGTGAATTTCGAGTCGTGGCGATCTTGGCCGCGCGAAGTCGCTTCTAATTCAACGATCGACGCCGAAAATCGCGACGCAAATCGGTCGACATTTATGTAATCGACGAAGCTTTACGCGTACGTTAAGTAATACGCCCTCGTTCGCGCGTGTAACAAAAGAAATTTGCTATAGGCGAGGAGAGCCTGTGTGTCTGTACACTCTGGGGGGACAACCGAGTTCGGGTTACTCGAAGTCTCCGATTTTACGTGGTTCGACGATCACGGTCCTGCGCCAATTTAAAACAAGAACGTACTTGTGGTGGTGTGAATGAGCATAAATGTTTACTGTTGTGAACGCGTGAAAAGTTTGTAGACAGGTATTTATTGAAAGTGCCCTTTCTCAAAAGAGAAATTAATTTTACAACTGTTAGCGTCGTAACTCAAAGAAGGATCGGAGCGATTATAGCTATATATCTTTGTTGCCACACGCAGACACTTGTTCGCAAGGATGATCGTTACAAAAATTCGAATGTATTTCCTGCGCGTCTCGAAGGGGTCGCGTTCGATTTTCGCTTTAATTAAACCCTTCCGTCTTTTGTTGTTTCAGGAACCCGCAAATCTGGTCTTGGAAATCTGCGCCCTTGATTCTGACGTCGCGAGGATTTCGTGAAGGCGCCCTCAGAGAGGAGAAAAAAAAAAGGAAGAATCATGTCGATTGTAATGCACTACGTGGACCGGCTCCACGAGATACTTGACAAACATGCAGGTAAGCGTGCAACCAGCAGATTTATAAATAAAGTACAGCAAGTTCTCGACCTGTGCGGTTAATTCGGTTCAAAGCTTTCCACGTAAGCCGAATTGTATAATTCTCTTTTGAAAGTGAAATTATCCATTGTTTTTAACCAATGTCCTTATTTCACATAAGGTCCTTAGTTTCGGTAATGGGGGACGATTATTATTCATTAGAGTTCGTATATCTGTTAACGATTAGCATGTACACGTGCCTGCACGTGTATCTGCGTGAATTACTAAAGCAAAGGAATTGAAAATGGATTTAAAAATACGATAATCACCGCTTCCCCATCGCTCGTACATTTCCACGACACTTTTCCTTATTTACTGAAAATTAAACAGTTTCTTTCCCCCACTTTTTGCCAATATTTTTCCTTCTACGTCGTATTCTCCTGCCATAAATTTAACTATCCTTGTTCTCACCTTCGAATTTGTTGACAGGTTCTTTATCCTTCGCGAACCTACGTCTGAAAGCAGTCGGTAAAAAATATTACTACGTAATTGTTATAGTAATTAAGTCGAAGCAATCTTTGATTTAACAGCGCGTCACACTTGGACAAGGTCATCATCGTACGGGTACCAGATTCTTTGGTATTTAGATATCTAATCTCTAAATAATTCTCTTTCCTTTCCACGGTTTTTTCCATTACTTATTCCGATCTATCTACATCTGCAAACAACCTAAGTTAATTCATTGATATGCTAGAGTACCGATAATCATGTGCAACAGTAAACGAAATTTACGCAATCCAAACGTATTATTAATCCATTAAATCTGTTGTCTTTGTTTATTATGAAAGGAACAATCGAACTGAAAACTCAATTGTTAATTCATTCAATATTTGTCGGATATCTTGTTGCAGTTTATTTATTTATTTATTTGCTTTATTGCACCGTATCGAAACAGGATATGAAAATATACAAAACATCTACATAAATTATATTTAGTTATACTTATCCAAGCACGTTCGCTCGAAAATGAATTTGCACCGAGTCGGCAAAGATTTTGCAATTGCGTTCCAATTTTCGTTAAACGCGCTACTTTTCGAGTCATCGATAAAAATGATAATATCGATTTCGAGGGAATTTATGTTTGGAATAAAAACACAGGAAACGAAAATACAGGAAATCAGGTAATCCACGGTAATAATTGCAATTTAATAAGTTCGCTGATATTTGCTTACTTTGAGTCCAAACAAGAAAGAGAAACGCAAAATAACTGTAAAAAAAAAGTGTACGCAAATGTTGCTGACGCGAGAAAACTCAAAATAAAGGGATTCAATTGAACTAATGAATAAGTAATCACCCATTTATCACATCGTTCCATGGATCGACACTAATGAATAGAACAAGCAACGAAAAAAGTACATATTGGTCTATGGCTTTACTATCCCAACTCGAATTGCTTTTCTCGTTTTACGGAGGTTCTAATTTTTCTACGAACTCACGGAATTTATCCGACGTTTTCCGGTATATGAATTGCAATTTATACCGAAGGACTAATTTAATTTGCAATAACTTTTGTTGCGTACGTTTTTACTCTAAACGCAATGGCAAACAAATTCGTTTCCCATGTTTGATCACATTAGCTCGAAGGTACTACGTTTTGTTTATATAACAGATGCAAAAATTTCCAGTAACTTATGAATTCCATAATTTCCATGACAAAAAAAAAATGAATGCAAGCGTCATATAAAGAAACATACATACATATGTATGTGATCTGGAGTCACGCTGAATACATTGCGCGGAGTGTAGAATATTTGTGCGTGCATTCTACGAAATTTTAAAAGTCACAGTTCCTACGCCTTTAACACAATCAATTATTTATATTCGAAGACATTCCTATAGTTCGGTGATCAAATCACAGTTTCATCGAAAAACCTGTTTTCTCCTCGGTGTCTGTAATAAATAAAGGAGAGAACAGGTTTCTTGTGATGTAGGTAGTAAACAACGGAAAGTATCGGACTAATACGTATTATTAAATAACAGTCCAGTATGCAGTGCTACCATGTATAAACTGTTAGAGACACATGTTATCTAACATTGACATTGCTTTCTTCTAACACAAAAATTACAAGGGTGCTTTCATTAGTCGTTTATTATTTTAATACAATTTCGCCCATCTTTAGCGGTTGGATACTTTGTTGGGATTGCGCAAACGTTGCCTTGCGCAAAACTCTCTTGAAACGAAATTCCCGAACTCGCATGGTCGTTTTAATCGAACAGAAACTTGCTCCCTTGGGAGGCGCAGTAAAAATTAAAAAAATGAATGTGTAGAGCAAGAGGTCGTTCCATCGGAGACTCGAATTGCGTACGTTTCTCGGTGATAATCAATTGACTAGATTAATTTCACGACGTCTTTCGCAACGCCGTCAACTTTCGCCGACCACACTGTCTGTATCTTTTGATTTTGCTCCAAGGCTCGAACTGCAAATTTTCAAATAACGAAGGACAGTTAAATATATTTTTGTTCGGCAAAAGTGATGGAATATAACAAAAGAAAAATTGTAAAGCAATAGAGTTGGATCCATCATCCTAAGAAGATGGTCTGAAGTCACTATGAAACTTCTTCATCTTCTACTGATCGTTCCACCAAATTTTGTCTGCATAATTGTTCGATCGAAAGAACATCGCAAATGGGCGTTTACACGGCGTTTTTATTCATCGCCTATTACTCGAGTAAAACTCTGTCTATCTCTGTCACGTGCTTTGGTATACAAATGACCATCATCAGGAAAGTTTTAGTATTCGGAATTCCAGATAGGTGGTTGTGTAATTTCAGACTTAGCTACATCTGTCTGCATATTGATACAAGAAGCGAGGCATGTCTCGCGGAGATAGACAGAATTTCATTCGAATAATCGATTTACTCGTGACGTTTATCAGGTAAAACCGTTATTCGGATAAGATTTTCTTCGTTCAGCGTTGACTATAATTCCGTTCGTCGATTAAAATGCAAATTTTCATTCAACGGGTAACGAACCCAAGAGTTGTTTGTTTTTCATACGTTATTCGATTCGCATAAGGATCTCGGTTATCTCTAGACAGTTTGCATAGATTTTACATAACGGAAATTCATACAAAGTGAAATAAAAGTTAACGAACGTGTAACCTTCGTAGATAGGAGTGATTGGTAGTCATTGTCGCATTGAAATCGAACTTCCCTACGCGTTGGACGTCATCGCGGTTCGGGAAGCACGGTGGCGGAGATTTCGACGAGCGGACGAGCAGGAAAGGAGGGTAGAATCACAAAGAATATCGTTGCAGTTCGGCGAACGTCACTCGTTGCAATGTGCAACGATCGTGGCGCATTGAAAATGAATAATTCATTTCACGTGTCCGTGGGGAACCTGCTGCTGATTTCGAAGAAGGTTTTTTAAGCTAATTCGTTGCATAAACATGACCATATGGGACTGTATTTTTGGAATCTCCGTGCGGATTTCAATTTTAGAATTTTCCGACCCGAACAAAGAAGCTTTATACGAACGAGATCAGAGGTTGCCTTCCATCAGAAAGATCTCTGTTTAATGGCTCAATTTTACGGCTTTCCGTGTACCATCGAGCCCACCGAAGAAGCGATGAAAGCGATTACAAGGTCGGTCGAAACGTTACAACCAAGAGGACGGGTTAATGAAACGGATTCTTCAACTGGTTTTAATGTGACGTTGGTTGATTGAACTTCTGAAGGACGCGAAAGGGCGAGGAAGCATATCGCGTGGAGAAACCTCAAGAAACCTCAAGGTCGAGGTTGTTATACTTTTACATGGTATTACCAGCCGCACTCGAACCCTCGGCAGGAGGCAACTCGATCCATAATCTTTCGTAATCTTTTCACGAAGAAATTTCTGCCAATCTCGTGGATTTGTCTGTTTATCCTGTCGACCAATATTCTCGAGCAAGATCTATTATATCTCACTGCCTGTTACACTGGGAATTGGTTCGTTGGAAATCGATGCTATCTACAATCAGTCCCATAAATATTCGTATCTAAATTAAATAATAGGTTTGATATTTTTAAATAAATATTTCATTATTAATACATACAAGCGTGAAGTTTATTCATGCGCATACTTACAATGAAACATCTATTTGAAAATATCAAACCTATCATTTAGTTTAGACAGATTTCTTTAATAAACATAGAAGTTACGAATATTTATGGGACTGACTGTATACAATAACGAGAATCCATCTTCAGATATAACCATTGATTTATACAATACTCATTGATCTAATTCTCGTTTCAGATCAGAGGACAACGAATTGGTTCATGATGAGTTCCCCGTTTCCCACCCTGTTCATCTGTCTGACCTACGTGTACGTCGTGAAAGTTCTGGGACCGAAGCTGATGGAGAACAGGAAGCCCTTTCAGTTGAACAACATCCTGGTGATGTACAACCTGTTCCAAATGGTGTTCTCGGCGTGGCTGTTCTACGAGGTAACGTGTTCCTTCGTGTCGAGTGTTTTATGTTAAACACCCTAGCTCTGCCTGCTCTTTGTATCGAACACGTGTTTGTTTGCACAACCACACTCACGAGAAAATATGTTCTTTGCATGCGTTAAACTCCTCTACATTTCTAAAAAGATGCGTTCGATGCACGCTAATATGTACGACGGAGTCACGAAAGCCGGAGGTTCGCGTGGGGAATAATTTCTGCGAAACCGTCGCGAACGTCTGGCCGAGTCATCGAGTTCGAAATCGTCACCAGATAGCATCAATGGCGCGAGCTTTATTAGTATTTGCGATACATGGACGGTAAACTTCTTGTTTACGTGACTCCTTTGCCGATCGTCGAGTCGTGGACGGGTTGGTGGCAGAGATGGGCAGTTCGCTCGAACAGTAGGCTTTCGAAAAAATAGAATTTTTTGTACGAAACACTGTTCACCGTTTATTTTGCCCCTCTCTGATCGGTGGCACCTCTGCCTGCAAACGATTCGACGATTACTCGGGAAGCTACTTCCGGTATGTCACTTTGAATGCAAGTGCAACGTGTCGTAGCAGCGAACAGCGCAAGATTAAAGTGGTCGCCAGCCTTCCATTGACGGTGACGTTAAAAACTTTATTATTATCATTTTTGATGATATAAGATCTTACAGGAAGTAAAAAAATATTAATACTTGTAAAAACTTATGCGATGAAGTAATGATTAATATATATTTGCGAAGGTTAGAGACCACTTTAATCCCCGTGAGAAATTGTCGAGATCGAAAGCTCGAAAAGACGCGTTTCGAATTCGATTGGATAAGCATTTGGTAAACGCAGCTAGATGAGCTAGATTAAACGTTAATTTTGCAAACCAACAACAACAGAGTCTGATGGGCGGATGGTGGACCCATTATAGTCTCCGTTGCCAACCGGTGGACTATTCCGACGATCCGATCGCGATAAGGGTAAGTTTTGTGTTGTCCATAGCCTCTTTCGCAGATAGATGATGAACGACGGCCATTTCAACGAGACGGAACTCAACGAATGCCAATTCCAACTGTATATATATATATATATATATATGTATATACGTACGCTCGTATTCTTGTAACAAAAATTGTGCTGTGTGTGATTGTTCGAGACGCTAATCGGGTTTAAAGTAATCATAATTTTCCTGTTAAAATCGGGTACTAGCGTGTTAATACTAACGAGTTGAGTCGATTTATCGAAATAATTATATAACGTTGTTTCGTGCTTGTGTTAAAACAATTAGTTTTTACGTTCGTCGATTCGAGTCTACAGTCCACTCGTAACGATTTTGATCTTCTACACGAGTCATTTCATGTAGAAATATAGTTTTTTTAAATTGAAGATGACTCGAATAGAGAGTCGAAGACGTCATCGTTGAGTAAATGAATTGTAGTAACAATAATTAGAAACGTGTGTCTTTTTTTTTTAAATCGCGTCGAAGACTCTTCTAGGCAAGTATCGCAACCGACAAAATCGATTATGGCGACGTATACGCATATGCCGACGATAAACCATCCTACGTTTTCAAGGGTCTTGTATGGTGGCAGTTGGAGAACCAAGCTACGATGCGGATTGTTTGATGCTTTTGTAGACAGCCGATTTCAGGGCAAGAAACGGCCTATCGAGGAGGAGTAAAATTTACTAAACCGCTTTAACGCTTTTCTGTGTGTCTTTACTTACCCTGGCGTAACAATTCGGGCCGACTGGCCGTTGCTGGTTGTACAGGGTTATATAGGGTGACTCTAGAAATCGAGCCATAATATAGCACATTTTCAAGCAAGGACGGATTGAATAAAACGTTAAAGTCTCGTTTTATTATTGAAACGCGATACACAGCTCGCTCTAAAAGAAGGAAGTACAACCGTGGCTTGTTTTCACATTTGCTGCTCGGTTCAATTTCTAGAATTACTCTGCATAGCTTCGAACATCTGCCTCTGTTCGTGTTTTTTTGTGTGTGCGTGTGCTGTCCAGTGTTTGTCGCATGAATGTCCTGGCTGAAACAAACTACAAGGTCTGGCGAATTTCTCTGTCACTAATAAGCAATAGTTAATCGTTACTTGTGTAATTGGCGATCTATTAATCGTTCTAACTCCGACGTAAATTTTCGATTTCAAGGAAACAGCCTGTGCATAGGTAAGAATTCGACCTTAATTAATGCGACCAGGATTATTACAGAGGTCGCAGTTAGCTTTTCACGTGCGCCATCGCGCGTACCCCTTTTCGATTCTACGCCTTACTCTTTCATTTATTTATTCTTTTCACTCATCGGAGAATGGTCTCTGGGCGGTTGTGGTTGCAGTTAGGAATGTCCGGATGGCTGACTGGCGACTATTCTCTAAGGTGTCAACCCGTAGACTACAACGATCAACCCAAAGTATTAAGGGTGGGTGATATTCCCTATTAACACGCAAACGTTACACTAAACCAAACACACTTTTCGTACATTCTATCGGTACACGATTGAACTAGAAATTCCACATGAAAAAGTAGCAATACGAGTCAGAGATGGGCACAATTCTCCTTAACGCGCAAAGATCGCTAATAACGAGTCAAAAGTGCTGCTTTCGAAGGCGTTATTGGTACGGTATAAAAAATTAGGGGGACCGAGAAGTAACGTCGTTTCGTTAACATTAAATTCAAACAAATACATTCTAATAATAAGTTTCAATTTTTAATCAATTATAATAAAATTCTGCCCATCTCCGTTGGAACGTTGTAATTGATGCTTTATTTGTTTAATTAGTTGTACAATAACAGTCTTCTGGCCGACGTAAATTTTGCAAGACGTCTCGGGTTATCAGAAATTACTTCCATGTATTTATTCTTTGTTCTATTAGTATGATTTGTTTCTTTATTTACAACTGTACCGTGTCTTTTGCGTGTTCCACTAAGTTTCCAAGTAGCGTTTGAAGAATACGGTATTTGAGGTTTCCGCGGCTCGGGGTTCTGATAGTTGATACACCAGTTGATAGCCCTTTAAGAAAACGTGTTTCAACGTTTCCCAAGCATTGCATCCAGCTTCTTCAGAGATCGAATGGCACACCGAGATCGTTAGTTTAGAGCTACTCAACTCCTGCTCAGGTACCTGCGCTCATGTCATAGCTAATTGGCCAGCAATCACCGAGCTTGTATGTCATGGATGGACTGATCATCATCCTCCAGATAAACGTGTCAGATGCGATTCGAGCCTGTATCATTGTTTATAGTATTTGCAGCTTCGTTATTTATGTATCTTGGAGAGACCTAAACTACGCGATACACACTTATGGCAGTGTATTACTCGAACTCCTGAAGAACGTAGTGCTTCAGTGCTTGCGAAACGTCGAAACATTTGTCCCAGAGTGTCCCAACGTACTATAAGGATACAGTAGTTAATCGAGCAAGCTAACACACTTCGAACTAGCCGCTTCATGCAATTAACACCACTTAACAAAAACTACATGCAAGAAACAATACACTTGAAAACAGACACTTACACGATATGCACAGATAACAGACTGACTGTCGTCTCCGTCGATGTGAACCTATCAAGAGCAAGTCTTTGGAATCTGCGTCAAACCATGGTAACACTTGGAATACTTTTTCAAATGTTATACTTAACGCATTGTTGATCGGTCACGACGATCGTAGTATAATTGCGAGCACTGGATCTCCAATGATTTGCCTCTCTTGTTACGTTTGACACAGCCGAGTGTAGCGCATAAAAAGATCGTCTAATCGATATTTTGCAACATACAGATGGTGCACGCATGTTGGTGGTATTACTTCTCCAAATTCACGGAATTCATGGACACGGTAAGTAATCGGAATCCAGTAAAGATTGCATCGGAACGTCACGTTCCAGCGTTTCGTCTTTTAATCGATTGTCTAAGATTTCTCGTTGTTCACCGCCTTTGTAGATCTTCTTCGTACTGAGAAAGAAGAACAATCACGTGTCGACGTTGCACGTTATTCACCACGGTTGCATGCCAATGTCAGTGTGGTTCGGCGTTAAATTTACACCTGGTACGTACAATAATCTTTTTACATAATCGCCGATTAAATCGTACGATTCAATGGCAATTCAATTGTTCGTCGTATCGTCTCGAGCAACAGACTCGCCCGGATCAAGATGCATCCGTCCTTCTGAGAATTGCTAGAAATTTACGAATCTAAGATTATTTCGTAAAAAGTGGTTAGTCGAGTAAAAAGTAGTCGATGAGTTTTCTTTTTTTCTCCTGACGTATCTTATGGTTATTTGCACGTGCGTGCTCGTATGCCCTGGTTCGAATATTACGTTTCCACAAATAAATTCTAATCACTAACGAGACGCGCATTTATACGATCCATTGACGTAGAAACTATCATTTTTGTCATTAAAGAAAACACGCGACTTTAAAAGCGTTCAACGTGCAGTTTCCGATTTGCCAACGTGTAATTAATACAGGCTGTTATTGGTGGACGATTCCAGACTGAGAAACACGTTTCGAGGAAAAACTAAGTATAGCGTGGTGGATGTCATGAATTTCCATGTCACGTGAAAAAACGCAATTACGCTCTATTTTTATAATGAAAATCCAATACTGTTTCTTGTTCTCCGTGTAAGCGGGTTAAGATATTTTGAAGAGTTTACGATGAAGTTTGACCAGTCGGAACGGAACACTTTGGACGATCCTGAGCAACAGATACCGATCATCTTTTTACTTCAACCCTTTACTTACCCTCGTATCTGTAACTGGTTAACGCCACTCTTCTTCTTTCCAGGTGGTCACAGTACGTTCTTCGGGCTGCTGAACACGTTCGTCCACATCGTGATGTACACGTACTACATGCTGGCAGCTATGGGCCCGAAAGTGCAGCCGTACCTCTGGTGGAAGAAGTACCTGACCGTCTTCCAGATGGTCCAGTTCGTCCTGGTGATGATCCACGCGTTCCAGCTGCTTTTCATCGAATGCAACTACCCGAAGGCGTTCGTTTGGTGGATCGGACTGCACGCGACCATGTTCTTCTTCTTGTTCAACGAGTTCTACCAACAGAGCTACCAAAGCAGGAAACGACCATTGGCGAACGGCGTCGCAAAGAAGGACCACCAGCAAAGCAGTCAGACGAACGGCTTGACGAACGGATCCATCGGCAACTCGTCGTCTGGACGAAGGGACGCCGCCGATTACTACGTGAAAGGCGACAGCCTAGCGGCGTCGGAGCTCAACCTTCGAAGACCCTACACGACGACCGAATGACCCGATCGTTCAACGTCGTTAGACCGTCATCGATTCATCTCATCCCCCTTGTACCATCGATCCTCCGAGTCGCATCCGGGCTTCGCTCTGTTTGCTCTTCCGGTCCGACGATCGTTCGCGATCTCAGCGGGGCATCGAAACATCGAAAAAGCCTGTACAGTAAAATAGTACAAACTGGTTCAGTGTATTCGTAGAGGGAGAGACATGGAACGGGAGAAAGGGTGAGTGTAGGACCAGGCAATCTACCCAAGATGCGTTCGACCCGGATTTGTCGCGGCTCGCGGTCACGGATCCCTGGCTCCCCGACGATCTAGGTATCCGTGAACCTCGGCACGCTGATCGTACACCCGCCACGACCGACGTAGAGCCGACTTTCGCGTCGTCGGGAGCGAGAAACCTTCGCGTCGGCTGGCTGGGTTGGGCAAAATTGAATCCGCGAGCTTGAGTACCAAGTAATCGGTAATTGTGATCGACACGTTGACTGGCAGGGTATGCGGCACACCTGTACACAGTTGGATAGTCAAATCATGTTCGACGCGGTAGAATCTCGATTGTTGCACGAGAGCCTCGTTCGTTGCAACGAGTTGACGATTGAAAGGTATGGTCACTTGTGAACGAGCGAAGGTGGAGGAGGAAAGTGACCGATAGGTGTGATAATGGAGATTAGTGGGGCTTCCTCTCATTGAATAGATTACCTCTCTATAGTTATAAGCATTTTCAGCCCCTTTTCCTGCGATAATCGAGGCTCTATCGTAGAAGGCATAACTTGTTACGAAAGTGAAAGCAATCTGTAAAAGAATAACGAGTACAAAAGAAATTTTCATTGCCGCCCTGTCGATGGATAGCTCTTCTCGCGCGGCTAACCTCTTGCTGCTAATTGTTCGAAAGAAAGAGAAAAATGTGCATTGGGAAACGTAGTATTTGTCCATGAAAAAGTAACGAGTTATTCGGTGACAGTTAACGTATAAACGATTAATGAATAATCAGTAATCCATGACAGCGATCGGTAGATAGTCAAGCACGATTAACTTTGGAAGGCTACGAGTCATCGATTGGTAATTATGATTATCGATTAACGCGACAACTGTGAGCGGTGACTGCAGACGTAATCGCAAAGCAATCGTTGCCCAACTATGCCGGGTGATCTTGTATTCTGTGTGCCGGGTGTTCTGTTCTGCGTCGACGTTGAACCAGCCAGACCGATTCGATCGGTAATCTCGCCGATAGGATTGCGGCGGGACCGGGGTATAGGTAACAATTACGTAAAGAATGCTTGGATGTATAACTTCGCGCCGTCGTTGTTACATTACCGTCTCGGGAGACGGTGATTTGTCGAATTACGATACAGAAGCACGGTAATAGGGGAGAAGTAATCATTTTTTATTGACCATGGTGAAATTGCGGCGGTTTCCGCGGCTAGAAAGACCTCTCACTCTCTTGCAATTCGCGTGAAATTGGCTGGTTTTCTCCCCTCTTCCTCACACGCTCCGTTTCATTAGAACAGATATTGTCGCGGTGCAACATTTACGGTTTATGCAATTTTTAAACACGTTGAAATGCGAACTGGGAGGATGGGCGGAATTTTGTCCGAATAATAAATGAACAGAAACTCTGCAACGATTACCAGAGGGTTGCCAGAGATTAAAATATCGAATTGGCTTTTTAAATTCTAGAATCGCGAGATTGGCAAACGTCTGCAGCGCGGTGTAGCCGACCTCGTGGCAGAGCGGTTAAGAATCAACGCGATAACTGTCATTCGTTCGACGGTTATACTATTCGATTACACGGTCACGCAATTATACAGTTCAAACTGTAATTTTTATCGAGCGGTGCTCATCTCTTATTCGCCAGTTTTTTATCCAGATGAAAATTTCACCTATCCTCTCCCGAGATGGCAATCCGCAGAACGTTTTTGCTGTCATCGGTTGCGCGCGCGCGACGGCGTTGGCGGCTGCTCATAGATTATATAAAAACAAGGAATTATATAAGAGAGTTAACTGTGAGCGTTGGATCGTGATTGCACAACAATGCCACCGACCGTTATCCGATTACATAATTCGGAGAAGATCACTTTTTTTCGCGCCTCATTACAGCCGAGATCTGTTTCATCGACGGCTAGAGAATTTGTTTGCTCTTGTTGTCGCTTGTTCGAGAGCTGTTGGCCTTAATTCAGTCCGATCCAAACGGAGAACAGCCTCGTCGCGCGCGCGCGCTTTCGCGTTATGTAAACCACGTGCGGAAATCAAACTGAACCAGTGTTTTCAAAGTAGAAGGCGTATTACGATCCGGAAGGGGGCGTGAGAAAATTTTTTAAATTGAAAGAACCCCGTTAGAAACGTTTATAAGGCTATTAGGCTCTGAAACAGATTTTTTTTTTATTTTCGGGTGAGGGTGGGAGGCGATTTAAAAAACCAGTTTGGAAAACCATTCGATTAAACTTTCTCGTGGGAACGTGCGGAATACATCGGAATTCGAGAGTAGGTTCGCGAACGTCTAACAAAACTGTGAGATAAACGACTAGATCGAAATCGAATGGGCTACACGCCCATTGCATGCTTCTTGTTTCGTATATACATATTGTATGAACGGTTTTAGACTCTTTCGGTTTTAAAAGAAATTTTTAGAGTGCATATGTTGCTGAACATATTTCCAGGTTTTTAAAACCCGTGATAATGCATCCATATCGTGAACCGACACGCGAGAAACGCTCTGCGAATCGTTGGCGAGTAAATGCGACGCTTAGAGAGGTAGGTGCTCGATCTGCGCAGCGGTCGTGCGCACGGTGTACGGTATGTCCATTATTGTACATAAAATACATCGTTTATTTCGGTATGCTCGACTCGAAAGCCACTCAGTTCGAAACTAACAAATATATATATATAAACATACATATGTATGTTGAACGAGAAATCGAAAGATTGTACAAAGTTTGCAATTTTTTATTAATCGGTAATAAGATTGATCTAACGAATTAATTAATAATGTATAGTTTAACGTAGGTATATACAGGGTGGTCCAGTAGAAATGAAACACCTGATCGATCCTTTTTGGACGGTTTTCGGAGGATGAAGCAAGTGTCAAGAATCGCGTATCCCCTACTTGGCAGATTTCAAACTTTTTTTTTATAAGAAAAATTAAACAATCTATCCTGGGACTGGCATTAAAATCGAGAATGAATGAAACCTGAACTTCTATGGTCAAAGTAATATATATTGACATATACAGTTACCTAACTACATTATTGTACAAATTACTGTGAAGTGCGTGCACAGCCTTTTAAAAATTTATTTTCCTCGATACTTTAATACTGTACTTACTACTTTAACCCTAGAAGGACGTCTGGTATCTCGACTCTTACGTTTAGTTTAATTATAAGTGTTTTACAAGCGTGTAAATTATGTTGCGTTGAAAATTCATAATATAAGAAATGTGAGCCTTAAAATGTACTTGAAATTGATTCGATGGTTATTTACACAACTTTCGGCCAAACTTGTTAGCTCTCTATATTTCTATACTTCTAACACAGGTGACTTTATACCTAATCGTAACAAAGGGTTAATTTTTAAATCCTTTACAAAAGAATGATATTTGCGTAACGTTCGTCCTAGAAGACAATTCGAATGTTTTCGTCCCTACTTCGCATTTTCAATCATAGAAGGATATAAATCGATTCAATTTCTGATGGTCCACCCCGTAAGTTAGAACTTCTCACTGATTGGCTTTTATGCCGAATATGTTGTACGCATTGCGAAGTCGCGCAAAGCAAAGGAAACGTACGTTTTCGACGACCAAATGTTAGATTCCTCCAACGTGCCTTGTGAGATAATGATAAACGGGTGTGCCTTAATATCTAGGACGTGTTCCGACCATCCAGCGTGCGAGGATCGTTCTTATTCACAACGAAACTTAACAATTGCGCGTCGCGAACGATCCATCGTTGATGTCTCCTTTTCGATCAGTAACACGGTCATCGATATCAGAGCTGTGATTACCGAAACATATTCGATCGAGTGTCACTTGTGATCTAGACATTAAGGTTTCGATTCAGAACGCACCGTTAGAGACACCGAATCCACCGTATCAGGTTCATTTCCTTTTCTGTAAACGCTGTCCTGTATCCGAACCGCGAAACTTTGCTCAGGACTAAATCGTTAACAGAGCGTTCAGAATCATGGTTGTTGAAATTGTTGTTAGAGTGTAGGAAAATCTGCGAGAGTTTGTATTCTTCTTTTTACCAACGTTTTCGAATTACGTATACGTTAACGCTCCCCCACCTCTCCGATATCTGAATACAGTAAGTCCTTATCTCGTGGGATTAATTCTAGTTTTTCGTGTAAGACGAATTATATAAATACTATACATCGAAGGGATAAGGAAAGATCAGTCCTCGGTGAAGAATTACGTGGTGTCTCAGCAAGGGGAACATGGACAGTGTCGAAAAGTTTTTGCTGAAACACAGGCTTTTCGAAGACTGATCAAAACGTTTCATCCAGCGAGACCAACGTTTCCTATCAAGATTGATATTTCCTTCTCCTCGCAATACATTTGACATATAAATTTGGGTAAAGCAAACTTTACAAGGACTCACTGTATTTTTCTAAGCGAACGCTCGCGATCCGAAAGATCTGTGATGTAGATCATTCGTGTACTGTATAAATTGCGCGAGTCAATGTTTTTCTTCGACCGTTTAAATTAGAAATATCGTTGTGGAAATATTTGCTCAAATTTGTTTTGTAGAAATTACTTAAACCAGTAACTCGAGTTCGTGCATCCAGTAGGTACCTGTACAATTGCAGCGGTTGGGAAACGATCACGTAGATCGCCGATCCTTTGAACTTTGTACCATGCGGACAGACCATAAGAGATCGAATAGTTACGACGAATACGATCGATGTGCACAAAACGTCCACTTAGTGTTTCGTTCGCTTTGCACGTTTCGTACACCTTGTATATAGGTAGGTTAGTTTTGTACTGTCGTAAGGAAAAAGAATTAATTAGAAACGGAGGTAACGATCATTGTGCCACGCTTCGCGTCGACACACGAGCGAATAAAGCTTAAAGAAGGAAAGGAAAAAAAAGTAATAGAGTCACATACCATAAGTATCGTGAGCATAATGATAATTTATATACGAATCTACATCTAGATATTATTACGAATAAAGAGTTGTTAAAAAAAAAGGCAAAGCAAAATTTACAAACGAAATTAACCACTATTTTGTATTCGCGGCTACAATTATTTTGTTTTTAACAAATCTTTGAAATGAAGATTGAAATAGCGTACTAAAAAAAAGCGATGAGACCGATGCTTTATCTTCTTAGAACTGATTAGACTTCATCGTTGCGCTATATACTCGTTGAACGGTGTATGATAAAAAGAAGAGTAAAGGGGCATCAATTAACTACAGCAATAATTCCTTGCTTGGTAGAGGAGAACTTCAGATTATTTTTATTGCGATTCATATGAAAGCGATTATCTACTTTTATTTTTTCAGTTCTTGTCATATGATCAACGGTCGTAGAACGAGTTCATTTTCTAACATGTCTTGCATTGTTATTCTCGAATCAAGCTACCTTGTTGGCGATCGAATTGCGTGCCTGACAAGTGGGATGAAATAAACAGGACGGTAGAATGCAAATTGCGAGATGGATCAAAATGAATTAATTGGAGATTAAGTAGAGAATTAAATACCGACAGTGGCGTATGGTGCGTTCTCAGAGCCACCAATCGTTCTTTTATCCCGCGATACAAAACAAGTCGGAAATAATTATCTCGTGCAACGTGGACTTCATTATATCGTGTCTCGTATTCCCATGTACTGATAAGGAACATGATTTTATAATCGTCACGCAATGATTAAATACCTGCTAAATCAAAGGCCAGTGGTAGACCATCGATTGCTTCAAAATTTAATTATGATTATTATCAACTTAGTAAGCTGAGAATTCACGCTCGTAATTAAATAATATTGCCATGGTTTTAACATGCCATGGGTGTTATATGATGGCTGGAGAAATAAATCGATTTTGTTTCAGGTGCATTCGCATGTTGCCTACATGCGCGAAGTGTTAATGGCTTCTATAAATATGGAAACAATAATTCTCAATCAATACATTGAATTACTCGAGTGATATAATAGCCATAACGTCTAATCAACGTTAACCATATCGCGCAAAACCTCAAATCACTTATGTTTGCCTTAAAAAAAAAAAGAAACATTAACAGCCGTTAGAAATTATAATAACGACGTCAACGAATGCGATTATGAAACTTGGTTCGTTTCACATCAAGAATGAGAACCACTTTTCGTATACAGTATGCAATTGTATTGTTTTGTAGCAACTTGAATCTGTCGAGAATCAACAGCCACTGCGCTTCGAACACAACAGTCATTATTGTCTTTCAGTATGCTGACGCTACGTTATTTCTTACGACTGCGTACCTACAGTCCTAAAATAGATTGTGACTAATAATGTAAATATAACAGAACATTACAGTCCATCGCAATGATTACATTATCGCGCGTAGGGAACTATTCTCTTAGAGAATTCATCAGTGTTGCATGGTTTTAAACGGTTACGAAATATAGATAAATTTTGTATAGACAATATAGAACTATCTATAGCAGCAATGCAAGTACATACACGCAATGATAAACTGGATGGAGAACTGAACAGAGGTCGCCAACGTTTACTTAGTTGTTGAATTATTCATCAACGAAACTGTGTACACGATGACACGGATAAGTACCGTGTGAGGAGAAAATCACCAGCTTCGACTACTCCTTCTTATTCGACAGCCGCGTGACATAGATGCGCAGAATTTTTATACATTTAGCCACGAGTCCGTGTAAAATAATCGTCCTCTGAAAATATCTCCAAACTATACGAAGCTTAAAATCAGAATGAGACTACTGTTTATTAATTATGTTTCCTACGCGATATTGATTTCAATTTATCCTATTCCCCGTATACGGAAAATGGGATATTTCGAACTTCGCGCTCAGCGGTATACTTCTGCGCATCTACGTTGCGCAGATGTCAAGCGCGAAGAGGGACTGCTACAGCTAGGAACTTTCTCCTCGGACGGCGCGCATCAGTGATCAGTACCGCGCTGTGTACCAAAATGTACGCATCGTTAAGTTGAGAATCGCTGCAACGTCTTTTGTTGCACGTCAATGCCCGAACTGTTAAGATCGCCTGGCTACTGTGCATTACCTCGACGATAAGCCCGTTTGGTAGGCGAGATATCGGTTTTTCTGTGAGATAAAATTTGTGTGTCGCATCTTGTGACGCATCACGAACACAGAGTGCCCCGCGCGGTTAGTCAGCGCCAGTTACTGACTAGCGCGGTGCATACTTCTGGATCTGACAACCTGACGTACTCGAACGCAAATGACTACATGTCAAATTCAGTGAGTGGCGTATTTTAAAGTGAATTTATATTTCTACCGGTGGAGCTGGATTTCCTCCGATCTGATAAAATATGTTGGCGCTTATCAATCGGATTCTGGACTGGTTTAAGTCCCTCTTTTGGAAAGAGGAGATGGAACTGACTCTCGTTGGCTTGCAGTACAGTGGAAAAACCACCTTCGTAAATGTCATTGCGGTACGAAAATTTCCATCCGTTCTCGTGATTCGATGATCACGTTTCCTTTTTTGTCTCGAGCGCGTGAATTCGATGACGAAGAAATGAAATTTTCCCTTAGCGAACTAACGTAACATGTACCGTCTTGGTTAGATTCTATACCTTATTCGAAATAACTAAGTCCGTCGTAGATGTAAACTTCTTGCATCCGCCCTTACGTGAAAATTTCATAAGTATAACGAATTCTCGACTCAAACGGTTAACAAAACTAAATCCTTTTAAAAACTAAACAAATCCTTTCTAAAATTGATCTTTCTTTCCAGTACATATAGATATATAATCCTTGTTCCAAAAGTTAACTAGAGTTACATGGATCCATATGTATTCCTTCTTAGAAAGAACTTGAGTTTTATGCAAGGTGATGGATGGAAATGTATATATATTCATCTTTTCAGTCTGGGCAGTTTAGCGAGGACATGATTCCAACTGTTGGGTTCAACATGCGTAAAATAACAAAAGGCAATGTGACTATAAAGGTGTGGGACATAGGAGGTCAACCAAGGTTCAGATCTATGTGGGAACGATATTGTAGAGGTGTGAATGCAATAGTATACATGGTAGATGCAGCAGATTCTGACAAAATAGAAGCAAGTCGTAATGAATTGCACAATTTATTGGATAAACCTCAACTGGCTGGTATACCAGTGTTGGTTCTTGGCAACAAAAGGGATTTAGTTCATGCTTTGGATGAAAATGGACTCATAGAAAGAATGTATGTATATTATTTTGAAGAAAGTATAAGGGAGTATGGCACCAACACAATTCAGATTAATATATTTTTTTTAGGAACTTAGCAGCCATTCAAGACCGTGAGATCTGTTGCTATAGCATTTCGTGCAAAGAAAAAGACAATATCGATATTACGTTGCAGTGGCTTATAGCACATTCTAGAAGTGGTATTCGCTAATACGTGTAATAAATTTTACATACTTATACATTCTTATCGAGAAGCCCAAGATATTGATAGCAGAATTGGGATCAAAAGTACGAGGGAGTGTTCAGCGATGATTTTATGTTAAATTGATTCGTTACCGTAGATAACTTTTTTTACATCTAAGCTTTAGCTGTTCTTCGTTTGAACATATATAACTCATAGAAAATTTAATGAAAAAAAAACCAAGGATGTTATGCTTAAGCCAAATATGCTCGTCTGAACGATAACGAGAGACCCGTTCATCCTTGCAGGCACCTTAGGAATAAGTAATAACTTTTATATTGCGTTTTTAGAGGATTTGTGTAAGTAACAGTTTCTTTAAATTAAACTCATGAGACGAAAATAGCATTTAATGGTCAACATAGAGACAATGGCAACTAGTACGAATACAAGCGCATAATAATATCAATTATCATATAGTACATATTCTCGAACTATTTAATTAAGATTATTACTTCACAGCATAGAGATTACGTACATTTGATCGCTACATGTACACGAACTTGATGCTAAGTAAACTTGTATAATTAATGGAGAATTATTAACGATATTATACCGATTTATTATGATCCTGAAAAATATGACCGCTGTGTTATGTATATACACGTATACATATATATATATATATAAAATGAAATAAAAATATATAATTCTTTTTTTTAAATGGAGAATCGATTTTGAAAAAAATGTTAATTACTGAAAGACAAGAATAAAGTATTGTATGTTTCTAAAACGACAATATTTAAGATACAATTTTCGAATATTAAAAATTATAATGGACAGAAGTTTTTATTGGTTAGCGATGCGTATGACATCATAATATAATCAATTGCTCTATTCGATAGTATAGAGAATCGATTTGTGAGATTCTGTTCATGCAACGCAGTCGTGTGTATCAGTGTGTATCGTCACTTCGCGATAAGACATTTCGTGGTGTAAACAATAGAGTGTTTCACAGAGAATTATTTGTTTAAAACGTCAATATGCCACCGATGAACGATAACGACCCTTATGCACACGCAAGCAAGGGACTTTTAAAACTCAAAAATGATCAAGGCGTGAGTAAGAAGTACGTAAACGACAAATTTCATTCTCCATTTAGGTTATGTTACAATTGACAGTTCTCGAATAAGTTTAAAGTAGAGATGGGTAAAATATGCCTTTCGAATAGTAAACTAAAAATGTTTCTTCAAAAGTTCAATTTATTGTAATCGAAATAAAATACCATTTTGTTTGCGTTAATATTGACTGATAGTGTTTTTACATTTCATCCCAAGCAGAGATTGATGTTTCTGAATATTATAAACGAACGATAGGAATATTATTATTATCATCATATTTTTTGAAATCTAGAAAAAAGCACAAGGAAGGCAAAAAGAAAAAACTAGTTGAAGTGTCAAAAATCGAAGAGGAAGAAAAAACTAAGACCACGGAAATTAAACGCACAAAGGCGGAAATAGCATTTCAGAAAATGCAAGAAAAGATGGTAATTAATTATTTAATTTTTATATTTCTCGAATAATTATACTGGACGTAACGTTATTTGCAGCAAAACGAACGAATTAAACAAAAGGCCTCTATGACACATAAACAACGAGTAGAAGAATTCAACAGACATTTGGATAGTTTAACAGAACACTTTGACATACCAAAAGTCAGCTGGACAAAATAAATTCTTTATATATATCTTAACTGTGTAAAAGTTTATTTATACATATATATTGCAGACATAAATAATTACAATATTATTAAAATTAACATATGATCTAATATAAAATTGTACTTTATTTTAAATGTTTGTAAAAAAATCAGATCTCAGTAAAATGTAACAATCCTAAAATGGATTGAATACTAAGTCTTATAATTATGTCTTTGATTCGGATAGATAATGCTTAAAAAGGCACGATTCTCGATGTATTTTACAATATATCGAAAAAATCTATTCATAAAATATAATGTATATTACAACAGTGCATTGCAAAAATTTGAAGTATGTATATAGCCATTATTCAAATCTAATAAAGTGTATCTACACAGAATGGACGGAATTAATATACCAAGAGTGGTACAAATTATTCGTTAATTAACACTTTTACTAATACCTTTAACTGACTAATATTATCATGATAAAACAATTTAAATACTATGGGCTAAGAAAAAGTATGTGACATACGCTAATTGCCATCAATAGGGATGCGCATGAACACGAAACTCCACCGTTACCATAACTGAATATTTTGATATAATTTTCACTTACTACCCATGGATTACTTCCATCGTCGAAATACATTGGACATTGGTCGCGTTCTCTTTCGTATTCCTACATTCAAAATTACGATTATAAAATGTACGTTATGCAATAATTAATACTAACACATTAGAGCTTTTGAGGTTACCTGTAGTTCTAAGGCAACTGCAGCACCTTCGGTATAATTACTACTCGTAACATCTTGTTTAAGATCACAGAATGGTCCAATAGCTTGAGACATAAGGACTTTGTTCAAATCAGCTCTTTGATATACCCAACAACGATATTTACTATAAGGATCTAACTCGTCATAAGTTATTAAGTATGACTTCAAATTTTCTTTCCAAAATCCGATACATTTCATTTTGTAATCCGGCAAACCTATGTACATTTAAAATAAAATAAAATACTTGGCATTACTTTCCTATTAACCGCGACAATTTGAACTTACTGTAAATGTCTACAGGTTTTCCTAAATGATCTACTGACAAACAGTAGGTTTCGTCAATAGCGATTTCTTTCTGGTCAGTGTCGCATACTGAGAAATCTGAAATATTTTGTTTGCAATAGATATTCGGACGAGGAGATAGCGTAACACCGCCTAAAATTCTAGTTTCAAACAAAACGTCTCCTTTCTGATGAAACATGTATTTCCCAGCTACTGGACAACGTACGGGCACAGGATCCTTTGCTAAGTGTCACAAAATAATAATATAGAACAGCCGATTTAATACGCATAGACGTGAGTAAAAAAATATTATCCTAACCTAAAAATAAGTCATATTTCCATGCTTCTTTGTTAGGAAACTGTACCCAAGAGCAAACAGTGTGGAAATCATCTTTTATAACTGCAACACCGCGTCGATATCTAATGATGTTATGATGTCGACGGACAAAGTCGAAACAAACATAATCTTTTTGACTGAAAATGTGATTAATTGAATTATGAAAACGCAGTGTAGTATAATTTTTGCTAGTACATATGATCATTCGCTTATACATACCATCCATCAACAGTCAATCGCGCCATCATGACTCTGCTATCTCTCGACTCGCGACAAACATAAATCGTACGCCTGTAACGGCCTTCGTCAGGATACCAAGTTTCGATTATATGTGTTTCATTAATGAAAATATCAGCATCGATGTTAGCAGTGTTTATCCATTGTCCACCCATGTCTTCCGGTAATCTACATCCTGGTTCAACCACCTCAGCTTTAACGGGTGTTACTCTTAAACGCTCGGGACTTTTTTCAACAGTTTTCAATGTATTACACTCTGCGGTAATAGATACTCCGATATAGAGATCGTCATCGCGATTTTTTAAGAAACATCGATATTTTTCATCTTTTCGAGATTCCTTTGTATTTGCAACGGCGAAGAAATGATTCTTATCTACGAACCAATCTCCTAAGCAGCTGTATTCCACCACTAAAATATTTACAGTATAAAAATAGTAAAAAAAACAAGGTGAAATATTTATAATGAAGATTTTAAGCAAATAATGGACACATTACCTCCGTCAAAAGTTTCCTTCATACCAGAACACTTTTTATAAGTTATATTGAATTTCTGATTAGTTATCAAGAATTGTGTTCCTGCAGTTTGGCACGATCTAATTTGTGCATCTGGATGATCACATTCTCCTGTAAACCTGAATCGATTCTGTAATGAGAATAATAGAATTGATTTTCTTGATAGATAATTCAATATCTCATAGTTAAATACTTGCCTGATAAGCAAATTGCCAAACACCCTCTAAAGATGATCTACAATTTACAGGAACATGATTCTCAGAAAATAGTGTTATTAACTGTTGATCGGATTTTAAACCTTTGCACACATTTTCCACAGTTGGTTCAACACCATCAGGCAAATTCATACAACTTGCTGAAAGCATTAGATGAATAATATTAGCTTGTATTTCTTACATTTTTGTTCATGATTTTTTCTAGATTCTTTCAGGCCTTTTACCTTCAAGTTTTTCCAACACATTTACTGTTCGTACAATTAAATTGACACAGGAGTAGCACTTGTCATTGTGAAATACAAATGTATAATTAACATGATACTGTTGCACCATATTGACACAATAACCACGATTTGTCATTGTTTCAGCATTTATCTCTGTTAAAGTATTTCTACCATTTTCCCATGAAAACCATGACCCTCTTATAACAGGAGGAATTTGACAAGAGGATTCTTGATGGGAATATGCAACTAAAAAACAAACGTATTTATTAGTCTCCTTTTGTTATTTCTCAATGAAACAGAGTTTAATTTATAATAATCAATTGTGTACACAACAAGTGTGTGAGATTTTAAAATTCGTGAAGTTTACCCTGCCACATAAAATATAGGGCAAATAGAAGAACGTCCCATCTTTTTGTCATTTTGTCATTAAATTAAACACAACGATTTCAACAATGAAATAAAAATTATTTTAATTGTAACCGAACAAACAGCGCGTAGAGAAACTCATTCAACTCATTCTGATTCAACTCATTCCTAACGCTTACGCCCAACCCATTTATGAATCATGCTTGTGGTGCCATCTGAAAATATTTTGGATCTTCGAATAGAGATTTCAGTCTTTAGAAATCGAAGAAACTTTGTTTTCTTCGATCTTCATGTTTTTGTACCGATTGTATAATTTATATTGATGAAAATCGTAGGAACACTGATTTTTTCCCTGTTTTTTTTATCTCTCTTGCAAGAATTTATTCGACTAAGTAGCCATCTAGCGATGAAAGGGTCGAACTAATTTTAGGAGTTT